AGTGGTGTACAGTCTCACTTCCTGGCATACAGGACAGGGTGGGAAGGGTCGGAAAGGGTAAGCAGAAAACTGATGATATGGATATGGTCAATCAAAATGTACCCAAACCAGAAGACTGCATTCCTCTGACCAATCAAGAGAGAACAGAGAACTATTTTGTATAAAGCTAAACCCAACTAATTTATCACTCACTACACAAGGAGCACTAGCTTCTGGGGCATCACCCCTTTGGAAATTCTGTAATAATCCAAAACTCAAGGCACCATGATGTAACTGGCTTGTGTATACTTATCATACCAACCAGATACACTTCTTTTTTCACCAATCATGTGTGATGTGTGTGTGTACACGTGTATGCATATGTGTCTCAGCATGTGTGTGGAGGTCAGAGGACAACCTTAGGTACTGGTCTTTGCCTTCTGTCTTGTTTGAGACAGGGACTCTATTATTCAACACTTTGTAAGCAAGGCTATCTGACCAGCAAGCTTCTGGGGGGTTCTCTTGTCTATGTCTCCCATTTCCCCATAAAACTGCAGGGGTTACAGACAGGTGTACTACTATGTCAGGCTTTAGGTGGGTTCTGGGGAACCTGACTCAGGTCCCCATGCTTATACAGCAAGGGCTCTCCACACTAAGCCATCCCCCAGCCTCAGAGACACTCGATGGCAGGAACTTTCTAGTATTCCTTGTCTTCATATTGTCTTCACTTCCCTTTTCTCATTGATAAGACCAAATATTTTCAATGTATTACTTTTTTCAATTTTATTTTATGTGTACGAGTATTTTGCCCACATGTATGTGCACCATGTACATGCAATTCTCTCAAAGGCCAAGAAAGGGCATCAGATGCCCTTGGGCTGATGTTAACAGCTGTTTGTGAACTGCCATGTGAGTGCTGGGACATGAACCCAGCTACTCTGGAAGAGAATGTATTACATTTAATAACTATACAATAAATGTCTGAAGAATGGTGATGTAGAAAGATTCCCAGCACCCACATCACGGTGTCTCAAAACCATCTATTAACTAGGGGATCTGATGCTCTGTTCTGGCCTCTGTGAGTACCAGGCATAAAAGTGGGGCACAGACATATATGCAAGCAAAACATTTACACACGTTAAAAGAAAAAAGTCTCAAGGAAAATTTGTTCCATTTAGGTAAATGACCAGAAACTGAGTGCTCTAGAAGAGCAGAAAAGCTTTTTGATAATAGATTAAACATGGAAAATCTGTCCCATCTCTGCAGTGTCATCTGTACCAAATACCCACGTCTAGCCACACTTGACAGTGATCAAACAGGGTGAGTATGCCTTGGACCTCCTACACAGAGATGTATCTGCAAGATCAAAAGAAGGCAACTTCCACCTGCACTCCTCAGTAGAGCAAGACCCAAGAGATGATACTAGTTGGCACTCCACTTTTTCCTAAGGTTGTTTCAGTGGGACCATCTTTACTGGTCAGCAAGAGGCAGAATAGGCTAAGAATCCGTTTCTTATTTTCCTACTTAGTATTTGGAGGGTGCCTAGCAAAGAGCTAAACTTCCACACAACACACAACACACACACACACACACACACACACACACACACACACACACACACACACACACACTCAGAGTGGGGAGGGCAGGGAGGTATTGATTGCAGGTGACTGTCCTATATCCACCTCCTGTCTCACTGTAGGAGTGCTGGGAATACTCATGCACATCACTGCATCTGGCTTTTTATATGAGCTCTGGGAACTGAACTCAGATCATCAGGCTTTACCCACTGAGCCTTCTCATCTATACAACACACACACACACACACACACACACACACACACACACACGAAAGGGGGGGCAACAGGGTAGAATGAGACAGATGAGGCAACACTGCTTTTTCCAATAGGGAGCAAAACTTCTAACCTGTCCAGCAACAAAAGATTAAAACTGTTGTCTCTACAGGATGGTATCAGTTAGAAGGACGGGAAAGAAACTTTTCCATTATTTGTTTAAATAAGAAAGGACGAAGTAGTAATTCATTTTGGCCAGAGTCAGCAGACTCCAATAGGGAACTCTGTATCCACCAGACCTGCACAACACATCTCAACATCTTTTCCCAAAACAAGCCAAGTGTAATGGTGTATGCCTTTAGTTCCAGTACCTAGCTGGCAAAAGCAGATCAGTCTTTGTGAGTTCAAAGCCAGCCTAGTTTACATAGTGATATGGTGATATTTTATTTGTGCTGAAATGTGGTGATATTTTCTTTGTATGTTAATTAATAAAGTTTGCCTGGAGATCAGAGGACACAGCCAGCCATAAACAAAAGTCAGGCAGTGGTAGCACACGCCCTTAATCCCCGATCACACGGCAAGCAGAGTCTCTGTGTGTTCAAGGACACACTAGGGAGCAGCCAAGCGTGGTGACACACGCCTTTAATCCCAGTACCAACCACAGAGACCTGGAGGTCTGTACAGACAGGCAGTGAGAAGGAAATGAGGTGGCTGGGCTAAGAGCCAATGAGAGGGCAGAACAGCAAGGCAATAAAGGTGTAGGTTAGACAGGAAGAAGCTCGTTCTCTTGGGAAGCTGCAGTGGTGTGATGAGCTAAGGTTAGCTGGCGGCTATCACTATTTCTCTGATCTCTACGGCTTTCACCCCTGTATTTGGCTCTGTGTTTCTTTTTTTTTTTTTTTTTTTTTTTTTTTTTTTTTTTGGTTTTTCGAGACAGGGTTTCTCTGTGCAGCTTTGCGCCTTTCCTGGGACTCACTTGGTAGCCCAGGCTGGCCTCGAACTCACAGAGATCCGCCTGGCTCTGCCTCCCGAGTGCTGGGATTAAAGGCGTGCGCCACCACCGCCCGGCGGCTCTGTGTTTCTTATTTATTAAGACTGTTTAGAAATTTGTCTACATAATGAGTTTTAAGGCCAGCCAAGACTACACAATGAGACCCTGTCTCAAAAAAGAAGAGGAGGAGGAAGATGAAGAAAAGATGGAGGAGGAGGAAACAAAATTTAGAATTTCATGACAATACCTCCAAACATCCAAAATGCAACAGAAAACACTCACTATATAAAAAGGCACGTAAATCTCAACTTTCATGAGAAAAGGAAATCAATGTCAACACTGAGATGACACAGATGCTAGAATTATCTGTTGACAATTTAAAAGCATACATATGAAAATGTTAACCATCAGCCGGGTGTGGTGGCACATGCCTTTAATCCCAACACTCGGGATGCAGAGGCAGGTGAATCTCTGTGTATTCAAAGCCAGAATGGTCTACAAAGTGAGTTCCAGGATAGGATCCAAAGCTACATAGAGAAACCCTGTATTGAAAAAAAATGTTAAAAATCAATTAAATGTATAAAAAATGAAAAAATTAGCCAGGCATGGCCTTGCACACCATTAATCCCAGCACTCAGGAGGCAGAGGCAGGTGGACTTCTGTGAGTTCAAGGTCAGCCTGGTCTACATAGTGAGTTCCAGGACAGCCAAAGATATATAGTGAGACCCTGTCTCAAAAAGAAAGAGAAAAAGAAAAAGAAAAGAAAACGAAAGAAAAATCTCAGCAGAGATAGAAGATATTAAAAAAGCCAAATAGAAATTTTACAATTAAAAATATGATAAGAATGTAAAACTCATTGTCTATAGAAGAATAAATCACTGAACTTGCAACAAATCAATATAAATTATCAAATCTGAATAAGAAGGGAGACTAAAAAAGAAACTACCATTAAATAAATAAATAAAATCCTGTCCTGTGAGACAACAAATAAAGGAAGTAACAGTCATACGATTGGCGTTCCAAAAGAAAAGAGGGGCCGGGGTAACAGCTTAGTTAACAAAGTGCTTCTACACAAGAGGACTTGATTTCAATCCCAGAACACACGTGAAAAAGACAGGTGTGATGGTGATCAGCCCCTGCAACCCCAAAGCCGAGGAGTCAGAGACGGGAGGTTCCATGGGGCTCACTGGCTAGCTAGCCTAGACTAATCAATGAGTTCTAGGCATAGTGAAAGACCTCCAGAAATAAGGTGGGTGGCAGCTGAGGAACACCTGAGATTGGCCTATACACTCCCATCCCATCCCATCCCATCCCATCCCATCCCATCCCATCCCATCCACATCCACATCCACATCCACATCCACATCCACATCCACATCCACATCCACATCCACATCCACATCCACATCCACTTCACATCAGGAAAAGGGAAAGGAGGACTAAATGGGGTGAAAGACTGTGGAGCTGAAAAGCATTTAAAAATGAATGACCAAAATGTTCCCATGTAAAAATGTTGATACAAGCAGACTGTGATAGTACATTGATGTTATCATGTAATAATCAGAACACTAAAACATCTCTCCAAGGGTTAGAAAGGTGGCTTAGCTGTGTGCTGCTTTTGCAGTCGAGTCTAGTTCCACTCCCAGCACCATGTTGGGTTGCTTACAACCACCTGTAACACCAGCTCCAGAGGATCTGACACCCTCTTCTGACTTTTTTGGGTACCTGGACTCATATGCACATTCTCTCTCCCCAACACCCCTGCCACCCCCCACAAACACACATACATCCACATAACTAAAAATAATATAAAATCTTTTTTTAAAAAACACATTTAAATCCTATAAATATAAAATCACAATAGAGTATTTTTCTTTTTGAGGCAGGGTCTCACTATTTTGCCCAGGCTGGCTTCAAAGTCACACTCCTTGATCACAACCTCCTGAGTAGGGAAGTGTCTTGGTTACTTTTCTATTGCTATGATGAAGACCATGTCCAAAGCAACTTGGAGAGGAAAGGGTTTATATCCACTCACACTTCCATATCACATCCCATCATTGGAGGAAGTCAGAGCAGGAACTCAAGGCACAAACCTGGAGGCAGGAGCTGAAGCTTGCTCCCCATGGTTTGTTCAGCCTGAATTCTTATACCATCCAGGATCACCTGCCCAAGAGTAGCAGTCCACATCAATCATTAATCAAGAAAACACTCAGCAGACTTGCCTGTAAGACCCCTACCTTATGAAGGTGTCGTGGATTATGTTTATTGTTAATAGTAAAGCTGATTGACTGACAGCTGGTCAGGAAGAGATTGAGTGTGACAGCCAGACGAGGAGAATTCTAGGAAGAGGAAGGGCAGAGTCAGGAGCACCAGCCAGTTGCTGAGGAAGCAAGACATAGAGAAATGAAGTAACAAGCCATGAACCAGATAAGAAATATGGGTTGATTTAAATGTAAGAGCTAACTAGTAATAAGCCTGAGCCATCAGCCAAACATTTATAATTAATTTATAATTAAACAGCTGCAGGACAGGGTGGGACAGAGAAAAGCCTCTGGTTAAATGAAGGCATTTTCTTAATTGAGAATCGTTCTTCCCAAATGACTCTAGCATGTTTCAAGTTGACATAAAACTAGCCAGCACAGTGAGATTACAGTGGAATTCTTTTTTTTTCTCTCTCTCTCTTTTTGAGGCAGTCTAGCTATGTAGCCAAGGCTGTTCTTGAACACTGAGCCTCCTGAGTGCTACAATTACCAACATGAATCAATATATCTCACTCCAAAGTGGAATTCTTAAAATGGTTCAAGGGTCTAGTCCCAAGGTAAGATGGTAAATTAGAAATTTGCTACATTTTATAAGCTTTCAAAGAACATTTCAAAATCTTTGCACTAATTGCCTATATTAACAAAAACATTTGAATAAATTATAAGATTCGAATACAATATAAATTTATATTCATTACATAGAATAAAGTAGATTGGTATCAGTTGACTTTGTGTTTCAAGTGTTTCTTAGCTAGGCTATAGTAAATCCACTGTAATAAATGAACAGGAAAATGAACTAATGGCACATGTCTGTATATGTTTAAATGCTGAACTTATTTTATTAACATGCACAAAAGTTGGAAAATAAAAAAATTATGAGTTTAGCGTGTTCAGATTTTATTATTGTTTGGGTGAAACAATCAGCTGCTGGGTAAGCCATGAGAAAAGATGCAAAGATAATTATGATTTTGAAATCATGCCTATTTTGAATCCACTATAATGCTTGGGTTTAAGGATATTTATTGGGGTTGGGGATTTAGCTCAGTGGTAGAGTGCTTGCCTAACAAGCGCAAGGCCCTGGGTTCAGTCCTCAGCTCTGGAAAAAAAAAAGATGGCTTCTTCCAAGGTTATTTATTGTCCTTATATTCCATAGCAATTTATCATGAATGTATAAGAAGATAAATAATAGAGTATCTTCCTTGTGTGAATGGGGAAAATGAGATGTTTCCTCCATTTGATTCTATGAATGAGAAGAGTCTGGATAACAAAGGAGACTATATCAAGGACATAAAGAAAAAAGAACATACAGAATCCAGAATGAGGAGACCAGACAGCTAAAATGCATGGAGAAAGTGAAAGGAGATAAAGAGCAAAGTGGAAATATCTCACAGCTCCAATCCCAGCACTTCTTGGGGAGAGGAAACCAAATCTTCAGCACAAAGTCAGTCAGGCAGCCTTTGTAACAAACATCAGGTTGACAGTTCCAGCCAGAACAAACACCCATGCTTGTCACAAGCTTTCAATACGGTGGAGTGATTTGGTCTGACAGTGACGTGGGCTGCATGGCACAACGGTGCTAGAAACGAAATCCACTGCATGGCTTTTTTCATCCTGGAGCACTAGAGCTGGGAATGCCTGTGAAGGCTTTGCCAGAGCCTCGACAGACAGGAGGAGGCTCACCTGTGTATGGGTAGCGTAAGCCCATGTGCAGGGATCCAAGACTGAAAGAAAAGGGACCAAGCCTAGCGAGCATCCCTGTTATCACCGTCTGTTTCTGACTGCCAACACAATGCAAGGCACTGATGGTTTTCTCACCACGGCAGACTGTATTTGCTGAATCGGTGAGCCAAAATAAATCCTCCACAAGTTGACTTTTTCTCATTTTTTATTTTTTTATCACTCTTCTTACATTTCTCTAATTTATTCACATAATTATCTTTATTTTCTAACTGGACTTTTAAACAATTTTCATGTTTTCCTCTTCCTCACATTATTTTTCTTCTTTTTTTCTCATTTATTCTTCTCTCATACATTACATCCCGACTGCGGCTTCCCCTCCCGTCTCCCCCAGATCCACTGCTCCTCCGTTTCACTTCAGAAAAGAGCAGGCCTCCCAGGGACATCAACCTAACATGGCACAAACAGATACAAAGGTTTGTACAAAGGCACAAACCTTCACATCGAGGCTGAGCGAGGAAACCCAGGAGAATGATAATGGTCCCGAGAGCAGGAAAAAGAGTCAGAGACACCCCAACTCCCAATGTCAGGAGTCCCACAAAACCCCCAAGCTAAACAACCACAACACAGATGCAGAGGACCTAGAACAGACCCATGCAGACTCTGTGGTTGCCACCTCAGGCTCTGTGGTTGCCACCTCACTCTCGGGGAGCCCGTGTGCCCTGCTTACTTGATTCCACGGGCAGTGTTCTCCCAGTGTCCTCCTCAACCCCTCTGGCTCCCACAATTCCTTCTCCCCCTCTTCCAGTTTCTTCTTTTAAATTACAGTTTTGGAGGAGGGTGGGGGACACAGCATGCTACAGCTGGTTCTCACCTTCCACCATGTGGGTTGTGGCGGTTGAACTCAGGTTCTCAGACTTGGCAGCAGACACCTTTACCCACTCAGCCATCTTGCAGGCCTTCTTTATCTTTGGCCTCGATTCTTTCTTTTTTCTCTTCCCTTGCCCCTTTATTTCATATTGTTTTTAAAGATTTGTTTATTTATTATGTATACAGTGTTCTGCCTGCATGCATTCCTGCAGGCCAGAAGAGGGCACCAGATCTCATTACAGATAGTTGTGAGCCACCATGTGGTTGCTGGGAATTGAACTCAGGTGCTCTTAACCTCTGAGCCATCTCTCCAGCCCTCATATTTATTTTTGACTTCATAATTTAGTCTACATTACCACTTTATATTCATCTGAGGGGATAAATATTCAGAATAGATAATGAACTAAAAAAATATTAAACACCAAAGTAACAAATAATGGGCAAATGAACTAAATAGATAGTTCTTGAAAGAAGTACAAATGACCAATACATATACAAAAAATGTTCAACAATTTTTTGAGACAGGGTCTCAACTATACAATTTTCACCCTGGCTTGCTTGGATCTCACTATGTAGACCAGGTTGTTCTCAAACTTACAGATTTGCCTTTTGCCTCCCAAGTGCTAGGATGAAAGGCATGCAACACCATGTCCAAGCCTGGTCAACATTTTCTGATATCAAGGAAATGTATGCTAGGATTGGGACAAATAGAATTCTTCATTTGCATGGGCTACCATGATTGGTACAAACATCGTCAACTCCAGCAGGGACTATTGTGATGGATAGAAATGTGATCCTCCATTTCCATGGAAGACCCTGCCATGATTGGACAAACACAGATCTTAATTTGAATGACTACTATTTTTGCTGCAAGTGTGTTCCCTCATTTGCATGGAAGGAGTGCAAGGAACTATGCCATGATCTGTGCAAATAAAAGTCCTCATTTACATCAGGAGCTGCTTTGATTAGTGCAAATGCTATCTCTCATTTGCTTGAGGGACCATGCCATGATTGGTACAAGCACACGCCTTCACTTGAATGAGTTGTTATTCTTGGGTCAAGCACGGTCCTTCATAGGCATGGGGGTCTACTGTGCTCACAATAGAACCTTTGCCACAGCTACACCCATTTCTGATTATATAAGCAAGCTGTTGGGTTCACTTCATGACCTCTCTGGTAGATACCCTGTTATGCTGTGTTGTAGCACTGAGACCAAATTAAAAGACTTCTCACAACTCTCCCTTTGCCCTTTATCATTAATATACTGAGCTGTGTTGGTAAACACAAAGAAAGGAAGGCAGCAATAGTAGTGAAGGTGGCAAAAGCCACTGCCCTGCTAGCAGCAGCAAGCACAGGCGCAGTAGAAACTACATGGCAGATGAAGAGCTGAAGAGTATGGCTAGAGTAGAGATAACGGGGAGCGGAAGCAATAGAGAAGACAAGAGCCATGGAGAGCTGTAAAACCTGAAGCTGCCCATGGCTTGGGGACCCTGACACTGCAGGTCTAAGAGCTGTAACCCTTGGCACTCTCACCCCGAGGGGCGAGCCCAGCTCCTGAAGCCTGTATAAAAGCTATAACATGAAAGTACCAGCTGCTGCTGCTCCTCGTTACTGTCTGGTGACACTAACTGCTGCTGGAATCAAATGAATACAATCGCTGCCATTTGCCAGGACCGCGGGTATCGAAAGCCCAGAGCAATAACTCTCTGTATCAATTTTCTGTTGCTGTGGTAAACTGCCATAACTAAAAGCAACTTGAAGAAGAAAAGGTTTATTTTAGCTAATGCTTCCAGAGGTAAAGACTCCGTGAAAGCAGGGAATGCATGGCGTGACAGCAAGAGCAGAAAGCAGAGACCACATGCTCTTCCACACACACACAAAGCAGAGAGAGAACAGTAAGTGGGAGGAGGCTATAAGCCTTCAAAGCCTGTCCCCAGTGAGTACTTCCCCCAGAAAGGCGCCACCTCCTAAAGGTTCCATAACCTCCCCAAACAGTGCCACCTACTGTTCAAAATCCATGAGTTACTGGGGGATGTTTCTTTAAATTACTTTAAATCAAGACTTGGATAATACAATCTATTTTGGTCATTTGATTCTTCTTGCAGTAAACAAACCCACCTCTTCCACGCCATGCTGGGATTTTGTCCGACTTGAGATTTCACAGGTCTGTACGTGCTGTCAAAATTGCTGTTAAGTTCAGACATGCAACTGCTCTGTCGTGTTTGGAAAAGGTTGTCTCCTTGTACTCATTCACTGCCTCTGGCTCTTACAGTCTTTCCACACCCTCTTCCATGAAGCTTCCATGGAGGGAGGAGTGTGTTACAGATGTCACATCTAGAGCTAAGCACTCTGCAATCTCTTGTTCTCTGAATGTTGACCCGTTTGTGGGTCTCTATTAACTACTGTCTTTTCTAAGAATATTCTTTGATGAAGGTCATTAGGAGTTGCTTTAATACTGTGTCCTTTTAACGAACTAATGGTAGTTGGTTCTCCCCTAGAGCCTATGGCCTATCTAGAAACAGGTTCTTAGCTCTGATAATGGTACCAAGTATAGGTCCCATCTCATGGCCTGGGCCTGAAATTCAGAGAGTGATTGGATACTCCCATATCATTTGTACCATGTTTGCAGCTATATAAGACTGATGACTTTTCTCCTCCAGTAGCATACAAGGTACCTTCCAGTACTATGGAAGCTATCTAGTAGGGATGAAGCTTCCAGGTCAGCTTGATTTCTCCATATTCCATCACTCAGGTATGTGGTATCTTTACTAGGAGAGTCTTTAAAAATATCTATTAAAGATTTTTATATGTGCTTTGCTTGCATATGTGGGCCTGGTGCCCAGGGAGGCCAGAAGAGGGTGTTAGATCACCTGGAACTGGAGTTACAAATGGTTGTGAGCCACCAAGTTAATACTTGGGACTGAACCTGGGTCCTCTACAAGAACATGATTTTAACCACTGAGCCATCTCTCCAGTCCCGGCAATAGAGTCTTATAATCAAATTATGGAGTGTTGGCATAGCCTGTAATGTGTGGAGATCTATGATACCCCACTGGCCAACAACTCAAAAAGAACTAACCCATTCCTAGTACTGGGATTGTTATTTGCTAGCATGTGGTATCTAGCTGTGGTATTGTGAAGGACATTTCTTATTCAAACCACCACAGCCTCAAGCCAAAGTGACTATAACCATAGATCTTTAGTTCTAAAACATCAAGCAATAGATAGACCTCTAGATATCAGGCGTAATCAAACACCACGACCAAAACAACTTGGGGGAAAAAAGGCTTTATTGGCTTATACTTCCATATCACTGTTCATCATTGAAGAAAGTCAGAACAGGAACTCAAACAGGGCAGGAACTTCAAGGCAAGAGCTTATGTAGAGACCATGGAGGAGTGTTGCTTATAGCTTGCTTCTCATAGCTTGCTCAGCCTGCTTTCTTACAGAACCCAGGACCACCAGCCCAGGGATGACCCCACCCACAGTGGGCTGGGCCCTTCCCATCAATAACTAATTAAGAAAATGCCCTACAACTGGATCTTATGGAGGCATTTTCTCAATTCAGGTCCCCTCCTTTCTGATGACTCTAGTTTGTGTCAAATTGACATAAAACTAGCCAGCACACTAAGGAAGACTAAGTATGGAAAAGTATGGACAGATGAAATAGAGGCCCAGAGCAGAGGCAGCCCCTCTAGAACCTTGAGTCTCACACAATCTGTGGAATACCTAACCTAATACACAGACTAGGAAGCCAGACTGCCTAGGTTTGAGTTTTAGCCTTACCACTGGCTGGAGAGCCTTTGTCAATCTCCCTAAGCTCTGTGTGAGCCTCATCTCTTAACAGTAGGAATGACGGCCCTTTCTTCGTCATGTTGCAATGAAGATTAAATGAGTTAATATGAACAAAGTACTTAAAGAAGCCCAGTGAATTCTATACGTACTTTTAAAAGGAAACCTATAATGAATAAAAATTCATTTGGTAATTATCTGTAATCACACAAGAAAAGGGGATGTGTTTGGTTCCTAAGAACGAAGAAGTGGTTACCACGGATATGCTAGAACCTTGACAAGCTATTGTTAGAACATTGCCTACCCTTTAAGTGGACAAGTGGGCTGTATTAATCTATCCAGAAGGCTAAAAAGCTCAACAAATCTTTCTGAAACTCAACACAGTTAACATTTTTCAGCCCAAAACTCAACTTGTTATCAGATAAATAATTAACCATCTCAAGGTAAGCCAAATACACAGATCTCTTCACTTTATGGGAATTTATAAGCTTAACTTTAGGTGATTTCACTCCAGGCTATGTAGAGGAGGCACTGGACATAATAGCATCCATAATTGTCTAATAGCTTGGGTCTCTCACACACAGCCTGTCAGATTCAATACTCTGAAGCCATACTGCCTAGCTTTGAATTGTGGTCATCCCACCTACCCTTCTTCCCTCAGAAAGGAAGAACTTGTACAGTGCCAAACTGGACAAACAGAGACTAAGGTCAAGCTAAGAAGCTCTGAAAATGATTAAGGTATAAGAATGGCAATCCAGATTTTCTTTTATTAATGAAAGTGGGAAAGGTGAGGGGAAGAGAGAAAAGGGTCATGGTGGATGAGTAAAATCAAAGTATATTATTTACATATTCTAAAGTATGCTAATGAAACTCATTATTGTGTACAATTAATGTACACTAATAAATGTACTAAAAAGTAAATTGACATGAAGATATTACCAACCTTATCTCAAAGGGAGACAGCCATCAGGGAATCAAGACAACTAGGTTCTGTCCTTTCAGGCTCTGGGTCTTATTAGCTTCATGAGCAAGACTAGAGTAAGGGTGTTGTTTTGATAACAGGCCATATATATGGCTTCTTTTTTTGTCTGATGCAAGCCATTCTCCAGTAGATCTTTAGGGAAGCCAATTTCCTAAACAGTGAACTGTACTCGAAGACAAGCTATAAAATGTGAGTCTCTGAAAATAACAATGCTCCAAAACAGGGGATGACTGGATGACCATGCAGAACAATGCTAAGTCATCCATTAATAACTGGCATACAAACTCCTCAATGAACAGTGAGGCAAGGCCCATATAGGTCCAAAATGACATCTTTGCTTAACCCTACTGCTTCTTCCTACAACTCTGGGCATCAACAAAATGAACTAGTAGAAAAATGTAAGTCAAAATCATACTGAGACCTCATTTCATGCTTCCTAGGATAGCTACAAACACCAAGACAGCAATAAGCTTTAGTTGCACATGTGGAGGAAATACTCTCTAGCACTTCCTGGTATCAGGGGGAAATTTTACGGCTACTTTGCAAAACAATCCAGCAGTTCTTTGAATGTATACACAGATACAGCATATAACACAGAAATCACTCCCACGAATATACCCAAAAGAAATGAACACATATCCACACATTTACACACACATTTACAGCAGTGTTAGCGCTAAGTCAATAAGTAGCAACAATCCAAATGTCCATCAGTGGATGAGTGAATGAATGTGATAGACCTACAATTTTCAGTCACAAAAATGAATGAAGCCAAGGGTGGTTACTCATGCCTTTAATCCAAGCATTCAGAAGGCAGAAGCAGGCTGATCTCTGTGAGTTCAATGCCAGCCTGGTCTATATAGCAAGTTCCAGGTCAGCAAGAACTATGAAGTAAGACCTATCTCAAAAAAATTTAAGGATTCATACATGCTACAACATGGAACCAGTTGCCTAAATTATCTTTTACTTAGGCAATCACTTTCAAACCAGGCTGCACATTAAAGTCACTTGAGAAACATTTAACTCCCTTGGAATCTTTGGCAGTGGGCACCTGGATTGCTGTTTAATATCTATTAGTCTACTGTAGGTGATATCTGAGGTCCCTTACAGACCCTAGGAACTGGATAAAATCTATGAAAAGTGGATCACCAATACCTCTACTTCTGAAGCTGAGGCAGTAACAGAACCAAGCCCAATGGAGAAGTTATTCAGAATGAATCTTCCAATGGTTCTTTACACTAAGCTGCTTCTTCTCCAATGAATCATCACATCTTTCCTCAAGACTGAATGAAGATATTCCTAGTAGTAACAAACTATAGCTAAAGGGATAGATAGGGTCTATCTGGTTGTGTCTGTGTGTTGGGTTGCTTTGGTGACAAGTCACTCTATTTTGTAGGAAAGTACATATTACCACAAAACTGTCATTGGAGCTCAGGGTAGCCAGCCTCTCCTCTGTGGCATTTACAAGTTAGGCTGGGTTGAAGGATACAATGGAATTCCAACAGTCACAGACTTTCTATTTATCAGCAGCTGTACGACAAACTGACTTAATTCACAATCGATGTGATTTGTCATTTATTTTTGTTCCTTAATATTTAAGAAGCAAGCTGAATCATGTTCCGACTTTTGACTGCCTGCTGGTCTCGTCAAAAGGTCACAGAAGTAAAACAAAGGTAAGTTTCCAGCTACTTTTCCATACCCAATTTGGAATGACTTCCCAAGTATCTGCCTCAAGTTCTACGAGGGACAAATGGCCACAACACATCTGGGAGGTAATCAGACAGCAAGTGCAAGATTGGGAACAGAGTTGAGAGAGGGTGATCATTCTAGAAACGGAAGGTGTCAGAGGGGGGAATGCATCCTTGGAGGATTTGGGAAGGGTAGCCACACCACTCCTGCCACTGTGGTGGGGCTTTTTATGATACATGAGTTAAGACTATTGAAGGCTAAGCTTCAAACACGGAGAGAGAATAGAATTCTTAGTCTAAGCATTGAGAGGTTCGTGGCTTTGACTAATTTTTCTTTTCCTCTCCCAGGAATGTGACTATCATTGTCGTTGGCTTGGACAACTCAGGCAAAAGTCATCTTATGGAGGTCTTTCAAAGATGTGAGAACAAAGAGCATTAGTTTCTGGTGTGGGTCTCCCGGAAATAGTCATTCCACCTTAGCCTTACTTCCTGGCCCTCAGATTCTCTCTTGTAAAGATAAATATCTCAGTCTCCTCATTGGGCACTAACAAACTGCTTATAAAGTGTCTGTCACCTGCTCCCTTTATAAGATGTCCTCATGGAAAGTCCTCACATGATGTCCATACGAATGGCCTTTAAGTTATGTAAAACACTGTAGTCAATTTTGAAGCATAGTGTCTTTGAAATGCTGTCTACTTTCAGAGCTCAATTCATGTGTAATTTGGTCTAGACAAGAGACAAGTGTGGAGTAATAAAGAAGTGTACTAACGCAAAACTCCATGACAGGTGATACTGAAAGTTAGAGCTTGAGAAATGTTCAGGTCAAGTACAGTACCACATCTCCAGTCCCTCGATGTTTCCAGAATCAGTCACATAGCATTGTAGGAAGCTGCTACACTTGTTGTGAAGCTCCAACTACCTGTTAATCAACCAGAAGTCAACACAGAGTCTGGCCCATCATCAATGTTTATTGAATCAATATAGGAGTGTCATGACATGATTGAGTTTTATAGAACGTGACAACCCTCAGCAAAGTAGAGGAAATGGTCACCCTGACACCTGTACCCATGGTCTATTGGGGGTTTCTTCAGTTTCCTTCAACAACAGTGAACTTTGGCCGATCTGGTTATTTCTACTCATTCCTCTAATTATCGGAGAGATGCAAAAATCAAATCATGACACTCCCTTGCACAGCATGTCCCCATATAGCCAGATTGTTTTTGAAGTAAAACTTATCCATCTTAGCAGCACACCAAGTCCTGTTTGTGCCTCTGACTCTTCCTCCAGCTTCATTTCACTTCTTCACTTACTGTACTCTGACACAACAAAAGCAAAGGCTCTGCCATTCCTCCACCACAGCACCGCACTTCACAATGACTGCATTTTAGCTCCTCTGCCATCCACATAACCAAGCCCCTCAGTTCATAATGTGGCCACTGGAAAGCCCTCCTTTATTCCCTGCACCACATTCCTTGCTCACACCCTCCAGCATCCACTATCCCAAGAGCCTTGCACAATCCCAAATCCACCACTAACTCAGGAACCCCATGAGAAGACATGGATGTTTTGCTCACTGAGTCTCTGCTGTTAACATCTTCAATAATTACTCCTGGAATGAAAGTTCTCCACCATTCCCCTGAGACTACATGTTGCCTCTTCAGAACTTCTTCTCCCTCAGCCCCAGTAGACCCTCCAAGTGCATTTTTGCCAACACTTCAGCCTGGCATGCCCCGTTAGATGCGGCACACTTCACTCCTTACATCTCCCAATACTGCTAGGCAGAGATGATCAAAGGCAAACAGTGACAGGAAAGTCCACAACCAGGCAAGACAAGTCACAAGATTACTGACAAGAATAGGGATAGTTTACTAGAGCTCCAGCTGCCTCAGCCCTGGATTCCCATTCAGTCTGGGTGGGGCCTGGGAAGCCACAGCATGAGAACTCCCCAGATGTTTCTGATGGCCAGTCAACTGTGGGAAGCACTCATCTGAAATTAAGCACAAGCTATTCGTCTGAGACACGTGTCTGTTTCCCATTCTGACTCCTGGAGCGGAGTGGATGCAGTTCGTTAGTGCATAACTTGCCTTGTGCTCAGTGAATAACTTGGGGCTGGTTCATAAATGCATTGGTTTATGGTAGTGACTTCATTCACAGAGATATTCTAATAGGCACTGATGTCATTCTGAAGAATGTCTCGGGCCACCTCTGTTCATGCAGGTCCACTTAAAGTCAATCTAGTAGGTTTCTATGTACTCCCAAATTGAATAGCTCACGTCTCCTGTTCCTATGTTTTTCAAAGATGAATGTCACAAACAGATAACTGTCAAGGAAATACATTCCAGTCTGCAGATAGCAACCTGTATGGACATTTAAAGACACCAGCTACAAAACAGTTTGGCATACAAGCCATCATTATTGATGATACCATTCACTAGAACTATTTTGCATGCCATGGTCACATAGGACAGGACAAGACTAAGTATGAGCACAGACAGGTGCCCTAAATAAGAATGTTGTTGATTTACTCTTTTCACTCTTTGGCTTTTTTGAGGGCACACCATCCAACTCCCAAATAAATCACATGGAGGCTCATTATTACTTATAAATGCCCAGCCTTAGCTTGGCTTATTTCTAGACAGCATTTCTTAAATTATACCAGCTACCTTTTGCCTCTAAGCTTTTTCCTTTTCTTACTTCCATATATCTTACTTTCACTCTTACTCCGTGCCTGGCTGGGTGGCTGGGTGGCTGGCCCCTGGTGTCCTCTCTCCTTCTCTTGCTCTTTGATCCTCTCCTCCCAGATTTCTCCTTCTATTTATTCTCTCTGCCTGCCAGTCCTGCCTATCCAGCAGCTGCCTAGCTATTGGATGTTCAGCTCTTTATTAGACCATCAGGTGTTTTAGACAGGCAAAGTAACACAGCTTCACGGAGTTAAACAAATGCAACACAAAACATTTTTGCATCCTTAAAACAAATGTTCCACAGCATAAACAAATATAACGCATCTTAAAATAATATTCCACAACATAAGAATATTGAGATCTGTGACTCTCAAATCTGACTATATATTCCAATCACCTGGATATTTTTTAAAAAGTTATTTATTTCATATGTATGAGTGTTTTGCCTGCATGTATGTATGTGTACCATGTACATGGCATGCAGTGCCTACAGAGGCCAGAAGAGGGGATTAGATACCCTGGAACTGAAACTACAGACAGGTTTGAGCTACCATGAGGGTGCAGGAACCCGAATCCATCTAGAAGAGCAGCAAGTGCTCTTAACCGCTGAGCCATTTCTCCAGGCTCAACCTGGGTGCTTTCAAAACAACATAATGCTTGAGCAACACTATGTAATCCAAGTGTCAGAAAATGAAGACTAGTACCACAGGTTTTTAAAAGCCTGGGAAGATAAAGTTAGAGAACAATGAGGCAGTGATCAAAGTCACCTGGGAAGCCTAGCAACCTCTTAAGCCAGCATCAGGAAGCTCCCATATTTCAGTTTAGTGAGAGCCCATGCGCCTCATTCTCATCAGGTGATGCTGAGACACAACCACACCCAAGTTTCAGAGCTCTCAGGAGTAGTGATTGGCAAGCTTTAAAGTGCAGAAGAATCACATCAGGATCATCCTAACCATAGCCACTTTGTTACAAATGGTACAGATGCTTCCATCCCAAGCTTAGAGATCCTGAGATCTTGAGTCATTTGGTCCAGGGTAGGGTTAATAAGTACATCCATGAAACTCTGAAGCACACTACTCCCAAACCATACTTCATGAAACACTTAGCCAGGAATATAGAGATGAATGAGAGTTGGAACTTGCCTTCAGGGTATTTATAAATTAAGAGAAAAGATAAATGCAAATTTACAAGGAACTACTTCTTGTAGTGTCTAGCTAGCATCTAGTGTCATCATCAACAGACCGAATTATTGAAGAAATTAGTTTTAAGTAAAAAGAAGAAGAACAAAACAAAACAGGGGAATGGTTATGTCTGACAGGAAAGAATAACAAGGCTTGCTTAGACACAGAAAACAATATTTTAAAATTATCCTTTGGAGTTTTAACCCATTCACCTCTTCTTTTTCCTCTGTTTATTTTTTGAGGTTATAATTACATCATTTTGCCCTCATTTTCCTCCCTCCAAACCCTTCCATATGCCCTTCTTTGCTCTCTTTCAAATTCATGGACTATTTTTCCTTAATTGTTATTATATACATATATATGTATATATCATACATATATACATATATATATATTCCTAAATACATAAGTACAACCTGCTCAGTCTGTATAATGCTACTTGTATGTATGTTTTCAAGTAGTGCAATTTCAATAGCAAATATATCAAAGTTGTGACTGAAATGTATATGCTTTCTGAAAGCTATAATTAAAAAGCTGTAACTTGAAAATAGTAGAAATGTTATAAAACCACATTAAAGTATAGTTGCCATATATGTGTATATTCATAAGTGTATATAAACAAGCATTTCTAAAAATCTAGTAGTAATTTAGCCTAATGATTTATTTTGGCAATCCTATAGAAAATGTCATAGACATATCTACTACTACAAATAAGAAATTACTGATTCTAGTCTGAGTACTCCTAGTGTCAGAAATCGATGAAGTTACTAAGTAATAATGTAAGCAGAAACTTAGCTCATGACCATCAGTTCAACAAACTGTGAAGCATATAAAGACTCTTGTTGTAAAATGCATTTCTGTTCAGAGCTGAATGAGGCTTCTAGTTCCTTACAGGATATTATGTTCTGGGCAAAGCGTTTACATGGGAAATGTGCCCACATCTGGCATAGCTTCTTGGAACAGACACACAAGAGACACTTCATGTCCTCATTCATAATAACAGACATTGTAAGAACTTCCTGAACCCCTACTGTAAGGCAATGGGCAAGCACAAAAATAGGTCAATGGCTACTTCAACAATGTGCTGAAAAAGAGAACAGTGAGAGGTTGGCAGGCCAGAGGAGGCTTCCTGAATAATGTGGTGGTTGGGTCTTGAAACTGTAAAAGAGAAAGAACTAGGGCTGGCGAGATGGCTCAGCGGTTAAGAGCATTGGCTGCCCTTCCAGAGGACCCAGGTTCAATTCCTACCACCCACATGGCAGCTCACAAATGTCTGTAACTCCAGTTCTAGGAGATCCGACACCCTCATATAGACATACATGCAAGCAAAACACCAGTGCATGTGAAATACAAAGAGAAAGAACCAGCATTCATTCATCAAATATTTATTGAGTACCCGTGTGCCACCTTCTTTCTGTGCTCAGCTTCAGGAATATAATGGATAAAATTATGAGTTCACCTTCCTATGGCAGTTTATAACTTAGTTGAGTAAACAACAGAAATTATGACTCTAATATGTGTTATGATAGTGCTAAACACGGGGGTGGAAAGCACTTTATACAGACTAAGGATGGTGTGAGGGAATTTTTCTACAATAAACAAGATCTAAATGGCTATTTTATAAAAAAAACCACAGCCATGAACCAAGCATATAATGGTGGAGAGAATGGCAGTTTGTGAAGGCCCAGGAAAAGGGAGACATGTAGGGTGAGGTGACTTCGATAGGAAGCAGGTCCACTGTGGCCACCATTCAATTTATTGACTGAAGTCAGAAAGCCAGGACAAGTGGCGATTTAGAAAGACGCATTTTGCTGGGCATGGTGGCGCATGTCTTTAATCCCGACACTCGGGAGGCAGAAACAGGTGGATCTCTGTGAGTTCGAGGCCAGTTTGGTGTACATAGTGAGTCCCAGGCTAATCAGGGCTACACAGTGAGTCCCTGGCTAATCAGGGCTCAATAGTGAGACTCTGTCTAAATCAACCAACCAACAATAGTAAGAGCAACAACAAAAAGAGAACTAGAAATATGCATCCCTGAATCTGAGCAGGGCAGCAGGCTGCTGTAGTGGGGTTGCTGAGAGCAGGCTCTGCACAAGGATGAACAATCTCATCTAACTACATTTTGCCACACTGTGGTCGTTTCTCCCCGCCTTCTATTTGTAGTAATTCCTAGCAAGATACACAGTGATATGAAACCACCACAGATTACACTTCTACTAGATGATTATCAAGTATCTCTTTATGACCTGACTGGAGACCTAAAAGGCCGAGAAAAATGGCCAAGCTACTATGCTGAGGCACATGGGCTTGTTTTCGTCGTGGACTCTAGTGACATATCACGCATACAGGAAGTGAAGATCATCTTAACACGCCTGATGTTTGATAAAAGGGTATCCGGAAAGCCCATCTTAATGTAAGCTTCTGCCTTTGTGTCCTACTTCCCTTTACCAATTTGTGCCTTGGGAAAGGTATAAACATTAAAGGCTCCTTTTGGCTCAGGGAGCTAGACCTTTAAGGCTCAATGAGGTAGAAAGGCCTAGTTCACTTGTCACTGGTTTCAAGAGCCACTTTCTACTATACACTATCACGTGGGACATGATACCTAACGATACAAATGAGTCCTGAACCTTCATCAAGGAGAAAAACTATCGAGATCTCCCACCCCCAACCCTGACTTTTCCTGAAGACTCTTTTCCTGAATTTGCCCTCTTCTGGTTGAGTCTCTGATCCGGAAATTTGATGATGGCTGAGAACAAACCCTATTTTGTACAATGTACAGTTCCAATGCCTTCCTCCCTGGGTTGGTTGCTCAAGACTTGCGTAACTGGTACTCATTTCAGGGGGATACTTCCTGTAGCCTGTCACACCTCACTCCTTCCAACTCCGCCTTTCGTCACTCTGATTCCTCATTAGCAACCCAACTAGAGTATGAAGAATTTGGGAGATGTGAAACTTCACACCTGTTCATATCCCAATTAGCAACTGTAATTAAAGTTCCAGACGTGGTAGACAGGAAGTGGGAAATGAGCTCTGGGGATTATCTTGGATTTAGACAATTTGCACTCTTTTTCTGCTCCATTGAAAGTTGGCTAGAAACAGTCTAGTGTATCTTATTGGGTGTGTATTTAAGCCCAATTCCTGGATATGTGGCAGTTATACTACAGTTAGTGTTCCCCTACCCCCTTTTTGCTTTCAAACTGTTTGTGTTGTTTTCTGTTGTTTTTGAGACAGGGTCTCACTGTGTAGACCAAGTTGGCCTCGAACTCACAGAGATTCGCCTGCCCCTGCCTCCCAAGTGCTGGGAATAAAGGTGTGCATCACCATGCCCAGCTTTCCCTTCCCTTGGACTGTACCTTGTTTTCACTCTTGTCTTTTATATGCCCTGCTCTAGCCTGGCAAACAAACAAGACAAGAAGGATGCCCTCTTGCCTTGTGATATCATTGAATATCTACTTCTGGAAAGGCTAGTGAATGAGACAAAGTCCATGTGCCGAGTGGTAAGTGTCAGCATCCCCTTTTCTTTCTCTAGCCCTGGCTAATATAACCAGGGCCCTGTCTGTCATCAGCCCCATATGCTGGCTTGGGGGCAAAGTTCCTCTCCCTGACAGGCAACATCTGCCGTGATTATTTCTAACTTGACAGTGACAAATATTATACTCTGCCTTCAAAGCCATTCTGTGAGACTTTAATATCCCCATTTTATAAGTGAGACGGCTAAACGGCCCGAGGGTCTCAGTGACTTGTTTGGGGTCACACAATGAAGGCACTATAGCCATTTTATTAAAGGGCCTCAGCTTTTATGCTCTTCATCTACTCTCTCAGATGTGAATGCTGAGTGTCTCCTCGGAAGTTGAGAACCTGTTTAGGCACAGCACACCTACCTCTGCCATTTAGATGACAGTGATCAGGCCTTTATACCCCAAAGGTCCAGGGATCCAGGTCCAAGGCCTTCTTTTTTTCTTTTTTACAGGAGCCATGTTCAACCATGAAAAACCTCCCAAAGAGGCATCAACAGCCAATAATTATAGGGCTGCGCTGGCTATTAGCTGCTATTGGTGATAAACACAATGAGCTGTATACTCGACAACACACACCCAGTATGAGCATCTCAACCTCCAAGAACATCAGAGGCTGTGGGGAAAGATGCTCATCAGACAGGTACTGAGCTGCTTTCATTAGATTTACTGATAATACAAGTGGGAGTCAATCTTCAACACGACCCGTGAGTTTTGAAAGGTGCTTAAATTCTGGGCAGCAAGTCCTTCAGAATATAATGGCCCAAGTGGGGCTATGGCAGTGCCCACTGGCATTGCTAGGTATACTACCAGTTCTGGAACAGCTTCAGCAGTCACTTCATGGGATGAGTGGCATATAGGTTTGTGTTTTTTTTTTTAAAAAAAAAAAAGGTAAAGCTAACCTATTGTTGGCATCCACAGAAGTTTCCTAGTGAGATCTGAACTTGCTTTACACAGCAGGGCTGCATTAGGGAATGGCTTGACCACGTGCATGGTTACCAGGTGTCTGGGATGGTCTGTACTTGGCTGTGCTGGGGGAGGTCTTTTGCTCCGCCCCTTGGCATTCCTTTAAAAGCCCTTTGGCAGAGACAGTCAGGGACCCAAGCATAAGGATCCAGGCCCTTCCGAGGTTATCCTGTGTTTCTGTCTGTCTCTCTCTAGCTATCTTTCTATCTAGTATTTCCTGCTGCTCCTGCTCAAGAGTACCATGGGGAACAGTGGGGGTGGGATGCCCCCCCACAACCTATCAGCATTAGGGCTTCTCCAAAATAGGGCTTCTGTTCCCTGAGTTGCCTTGTGGAAGACAAAGGGAACATGTGCCCCTTAAGGAGCCTATTGACAATATTCTAAAGGTGAATAATACACAGTTGCTCTGAATTCTCAGCCTCCAGTTCTCTGATCTGCCTAATCATGGAATGACAAGAAAGAACAGGAATGCTGAAAAGACAGAGCAGGATGAGATCTGGGTTTTGAGAAATATAAGGCCTAAATGTCCTCTTGCTCTGTTGCCACTTTCGCTGAGCAAAGGCACATGGAAAGGAGAGGATAGCGGCTGCATTGGATCGAGAAGCTGGACAGCTGGGCCAGCTCGGGAGCAGAGCATTTGTCTCACTCATGGGACAGTCCCCAGCACTGACATGAGGAGAAAACTCTTGAAACGTGTCTGTCTCTACTACTGACTTGTTCTTTCAAACTTAGCTTCGCGAACAGAGTGGGAATGCTCAGAGACAACAGACAGCATTTTGAGAAAAGACAACACCTGGAGCATAGACAGCATGTGGAGCAAAGACACTTTGAGAAAAGACAGCATTTTGAATCAAGACAGCATTTAATACAGCGCTCACTGGACGCTAGGCCCCTAAAGCCAATCCTACAGGTGAGTGGCTTTTTAAATGCTATTGCCCATGGCCAGTACTTGAACTCTTGAGAACTAATGACAATTTCCCTCTTCTTCTGGGCATACAGAAAGATGGTCTGCGAATAAGGCCCAAAAAGAATATGTCAGTAACATTTGCTCTGGACATCATCATGGAGGAAGGTGAATGTTCTCGGAAGACTGGAGCTCAGAGTATCACTAAGCCTTGCAACAGTAAATGTTACGATATGCAGACTCCAGCTCCATCTCTCGAGGGCAATCTTTTCAAAGGTAATGTCGAATTACTGGCTATAGAAGGAAAGTTATATAGGCCTTCCTTTCATTTTCTACAATAGCATTCCTACTTTGAGAATGAAACTCACTTTTCACACTATGGTTTGTTGTTAAGACATGTATGGGTGCCGGGCGGTGGTGGCGCACGCCTTTAATCCCAGCACTCGGGAGGCAGAGCCAGGCGGATCTCTGTGAGTTCGAGGCCAGCCTGGACTACCAAGTGAGTTCCAGGAAAGGCGCAAAGCTACACAGAGAAACCCTGTCTCGAAAAACCAAAAAAAAAAAAAAAAAAAAAAAAAAAAGACATGTATGGGACAATGCTTAGAGACCATCTTCCGATAGGCCAGCATGGTACCCCAGCATTAGTTGACACAAGATCTTTAGTTGGCTATAGCAGTAACTTAAAGGTTATGCTTGCCAATGGTGGAAGCGCAAAATGGCATAACCTTTATGTAGGGTACACTGCCTGTCTCTCTCTTCCCCTCCTTTTCTCCATATTATTAACAACTTTTAAAATGGGGCTAGAGAGATGGCCCAGTGGTTAAGATTACTTGTTCCTCTTGCAGAGGAACCATGTCTGGCACCACATGGTGGCTCACAATCATCTGTAACTCCACTCTCAGGAGATCCCATGCCCTCTTCTGGCCTTTGCAGGCATACATGTGGTTCACAAATATACATGCAGGCAAAAGACTCATACACATTAAAATAAAATAAATCTTAAAAAAAGAACTTAAAAATATGGTAGCCCTTTAAACTACTAGTCTCTTTTTTAGCTGTCTACAATTACAGAAGTACACAAAGAGTATACTAAAGGATATTCCAATTATAATATCCAGTACAAGAGCTAAATATTGGAAAGGATGTAAATGCCCAATGACAGGGATGGCTAAATGACCTAGGATGCATCCACACTATGGAGACATTAACACTGCTAAGGATGGGGCCTGGGGATGACTCAGTGCTTCGTGTGCCTTCCATGACAGCATGAAGACCTGAGTTTGGATCTCCTGCACCCATTGGTCTACACCTGTAACTGTAGCGGGGTTGGGGGGGTAGAGAAAGGAGCACCTGAAGCTCATTGGCTACCCAGCCTAGTTGATCAGTGAGAGACCCTGTCTCAAAAAAAATCCAAAACCATGAAGCGTTGAGCCCTGATCTCCTCATACACATGTATACAAACATATACACACATACACTATACACAAGAAATAATTAAGTGCTAAGGATGACTTCCATTTACTAACATGGAAAGTCTTTCACCACTTGACATATATTGACTGTCAATTGACAATAATCATGTCATCGCAGGCTGAGTTGTTATGCATACATCGAGGGACATGCCCTTGGCCAAAGCCACTAAGGAGAAAATGGGCACAGATAAGGAGTAAGGATGAAAGCCGAGGAGAAGGAATCTAGTAGAAAATAGAGCACGTCTTCCTAGATGTCAGCAACTACCCCTAAATGTTTATCCAAAACCAAAACTCATTTTCATTTCTATAACCTCAGCTCGTAGGCCAAAAAAGAGAGTAGATAACTGGAACACTGAAGAAATGTTATTGGAAGATCCGTGTAGCAAAGCCTTCCGTTCCTGCGGTTAGTACTCCTTAAATAGTCCAAGAACGTTTGAAGCTGGGACGGAGGGTGGGTGTCCCACAGGGTGCCTTGGAAACTGGGAGGCACCCTCCTACCCCAAGTAGTAGAATAGAAACTTTGTACTTGGCTTCACTTGCAAAACTGGCTGTTTTCTTTCCCTGATGAAACCTAACAGACTACTAAAGAGAAAATGGAGGGGCAGCAGAAGAATCATTCCCTCTACCACCTTTCAGTAAATGGGCACATCTCCAGAAGCAGCAGGAACGCTCAGTCTTTGACTTTTATTGGATAATGTCTCTACAGCCCACGTACAAGTTCACCTATTCTAACATCACACCCTTGAGAACCATTGTTTCTCCATACCAGTGTGCTAGCCAGCAAATGCATCCTATACTCACGGGGAGGCTCAGGAAGTTAGGTGTCGTCCACCTCACCAAAGAAGAGCAGCAACTTCCCAAACGTACTGAGATGCTCCTGAAAAAGCTTACAGATAAGATGTTGTGAACAACTGAAATTGAGCCTTAGAAGAACAGGGTTACTTTAGAATCACACGTTCCTCTTTAAGGTTCTCAGGTATAAAGGGACTGGCAAAATAAATAAGAATGATGTTCTACTCAATTGTTTTGTTTTGTTTTTCCCCACACCTCCAAAAACAGGTATGCTTTAAATACCTAGCTACTGTCTGGGAAACCATGTTGCTTTGCTAGCCTTTCAGGAACAGTAACTGCCCCCTCTTAACACATGCATAGATTCCCCCCCTCCACTCCCAGCAGGCTGTGGTTGGGACGGTAGTGCTCCCTTCCTGTTATTGTTGTTCTCACCTTCATCATGGACCCCATTTATCAGGTGCTTTCTGGATACCTGGCAGAGTGCTAAGTTGTTCCGATCTATTGTCCTATTGGCAACCTTCCTGGGCAGGCATTATACCTGGCATCATTTCCCAAATGAGGATACTGTAGAAGGCAGAGCAAGGAATGGAATCCAAACTTGCCTAGCTAAAGCTACCTTGGGCCAGAGAGATCCACACATGACTTTCCCTAACTCCCCCTAGAAAGAGAAAGCTACAGCCAGGAAATAATGCTGCAGTGTAGCCATGCCTCTGTGAGGAGAATTCCGTTAGCAGCCCGAAGGGCACCCACCGTGCTAGCAGGCATAGCTGACTGAGCACTTCCACTTGGTCAGATGCTGGCCTGCTTTACGTATATTACTGCCTTCATCGTCCTCTCACAGGGGCAGAGACGGATGTTCAGAGAGGTTACATAATCGGCCCCTGGGCACCCGCCAGGAGGGAGCAGAACCAGTTTGGGGTTTTTGTTTGTTTTGTTGTTGTTGTTGTTTGTCTTTCAAGACAGGGTTTTTCTCTGGGTAGACCAGGCTGGCCTTGAACTCCAGAGATTCGCCTGCCTCTGCCTCCCAAGTGCTGGGATTAAAGGTGTGTGCCACTAGCTAGCAGAACGAATTTTTAAACTAAAGTCCAAGTCCACAGGGGCTATAAAGATGACTCGGCAGATAAGAGTACTGGATGAGCAAGCATAGGGACCTGAGTTTGGATCCCAGCACTCATGTAAAAAAGCAGAATGTGAACGCACGTGCATGTACCTGTAATCCCTGAACTTTAAGGGGCAGACAGGAGGACCACTGAGGCTTGTTGGCCGCTTGCATAGCTCCAGGTTCAGTGAGAGACAGTCTAAAGAGTAATGCAGAGCAAGTCTCCAGGCATCTTCTTCTGGCATCTGTATGTATGAACCGCCCCCCCCCCCCCCCGCGCCCCCGCGCTCCACATACATGCACGTGCACCACAGATAAATATACCACATACATACTCATGCACATAAATAAAAAAAAATCCAACTCCATAATCCATGCTCTTTACTCTAGATTGCTTTGCCAAGCAGTATAAGGCAGTCAACCCACTGTTTGACAGATACAAACCTTTCAACTAAACACTTCTTAAAACCCTGCATGAAAGAGGTTTCTCCTCCTCCTCGCTTCTTTTTCTTTCTTCTTCCTCCTCCTCCATCTCTCTGTGTAGTCCTGGCTGTCCTGAACTCTCCATGTAGACCATGCTGGCCTCAAACTCACAGAAATCCACCTGTCTCTGCCTTCGAGGGTGCTGGGATTAAAGGGGCATGCCACTCCAAGCAGCACCAAGGCTACTTTATTATATCCAAAGGAACCACTTTAAATGCTTTATGGGCCTCTGATTCGCTTGTAAGCTCAGCTTATTAGTTGTGGCACCGGAAAGAACTTTACAGAACCTCTAGTCAAACCCAGGTTATACAGATGCCCAAGATAGTATGACTAGATCCTGGCAGAAATGTTCCCTAAATCTGCATCGCCTGGGTGTCCACGCCTGCATCCTCCCCAGGCCATTTTAATCTCACTCTATCTACTTTACTTTACCTGTGAGAGAATTCTGCAGTCCAACAGTCTCAGCCGGGGAAGCAGCCAATGTGTCTACTAAAGAAGTTTTAGGGCTGGGGCTGCACAGCGGTAGAGCACTAGCCTAGCATGCACAAGGCCACAGGCTTGATCCTCAGCACAAAAGACAGGAGACTGCAATTCGATAAACCATGGTTTTTTTGTTTTTGTTTTGGTTTTTGGTTTTTGGTTTTGTTTTGTTTTTTTTTCCGGAGCTGAGGACCGAACCCAGGGCCTTGTGCTTGCTAGGCAAGAACTCTACCACTGAGCTAAATCCCCAACCCCTTGTTTGTTTTTTATGGTTTTTCAAGACAGGGTTTCTCTATGTAGTTAAGGTCCTCCTGGAACTAACTCCATAGACCAGGGTGGCCTTGAACCGGCCTCCTGAGTGCTGGGATTAAAGGTGTATGCCACCACCGCCCAGCCAATAAAACCACTTTTTTTTTAAAGAGAATTGATCATCCACACACATTTTCCTTCATGGCATGTGTCTATTGGACAAGACTATTTTCTTAGCCATCAGAGAAAGGTATGGTAAGTAGGCCTGTGAATATGAGCAAGGTAGAGAATTGAGGTTGAACACCTGCTAACAGAAGTGAATTTCAACTGGGGGATGAAGCACAGTGGGCAGAGTGCTTGCCCAGCACACGGAACCCTGGGTTCTATCCCCAGTGCCACATAAATGGCACATGGTAGTGTATACCTATACTGCCAGAATTAGGAGGTAGAGGCAGGTGGATTCACCATAAAGCAAGTCTAAGGTTATCCTGGGATACAAGAGACCTTTTTCCAAAGAAGAAAAAAATCCTGAATTACAGTACACTGTCACACTTCCCTTTGTGCAATGGCTGCGTTTCTGAGTGACAACATTTTTTTTCCTAAGGAGAAGCTAAAGTGGGGTGGGGTTTTTTGTACATTTATTTGTGTGCATATGTGTGTGTGTATGTTGGTCTTGAACTCATGATCCTCTTTCATCCTGGGGTTACAGGCACATACCAACTCATGCAGGTTTTGTTCAGGAAGTTTTCTTTTCTTAATAAACCTTTCCTTTATTTATTTATTTGTTGGTTTTTCCATTTCTTTCCTTATTTAGAGAACATTGCTACCGATGCATGTGGAAGCCATAGGACAGCTTGCAGAAGTCAGTTCCCTCCTTTAGTTGCATGGGTTGTGGGGATTAAATTCCAGTTGTCCAGCTTAGCAGCAAATGCTTTGACCTGCTGAGCTGTCTCACTGTGAAGGGCTCTGGTAGGCCCGAGCATGGCAAACATGGCTCTGGCAGACCTTGCCCTCCCCTGTTCCTTCCTCCTTGCTAAACCATAGAGAACATTCCTAAAGCTAGCCACCAAGGTCCCTTATTTGGCCACTATCTCCTCCTGAGGCTGACCACCAAGGTCCAGCTATTGAAGTACTAAAGTCCAGCAATCAAGAGCCCCCTTTGATTAGGGATGTTGAGCAATTCCTTAAATGTCTTTCAGCCATTTGAGCTTCCTCTGTTGAGAATTCTCTGTTTAGTTCTATAGCCCATTTCTTAATTGGGACTGTTGGGCATTTTGATGTCTAATTTCTTGAGTTCTTTATATATTCTGGATATCAGTCCTCTGTCAGATGTGGGGTTGGTGAAGACCTTTTCCCAATCAAAACGACTCTGAGATACCACCTTACACCTGTCAGAATGGCTAAGATCAAAAACACTGAAGACAGGCTATGCTAGAGAGGATGTAGAGCTAGGGGAACTCTCCTCCACTGCTGGTGGGAATGCAAGCTTGTACAACCACTTTGGAAATCAATATGGTGCTTTCTTAGAAAATTGGGAATCAATCTCCCCCAAGATCCAGCTATAGCACTCTTGGGCATATACCCAAGGTACGCTCAATCATACCACATGGGGACTTGCTCAGCTATGTTCATATCAGCATTGTTTGTAATAGCCAGAACATGGAAACAACCTAGATGCCCTTCAACTGAAGAATGGATAAATAAAATGTGGTACATATACACAATGGAATATTACTCAGCAGAGAAAAACAATGACATCATGAGGTTTTCAGACAAATAGATGGATCTAGAAAAAATCATCCTGAGTGAGGTAACCCAGACTCAGAAAAACAAACATGGTATGTACTCACTCCTAGGAGGATACTAGATGTAAAACAAAGATGACTAGACTGCTACTCAACTCCAGGGAGGTTACCTAGAAAACAGGACCCCAAGAAAGGCACAGGGATTGCCCAATGACAGAGAAATGGATGAGATCTACATGAACAGCCTGGACATGAGAGGGGTTAATGAAGGGCGAGGGTCGAGGGAAAGAGAGCTTAGGGGAGCGGGAGATCCCAGCTGGATCAAGAACAGAGAGAGAGAACAAGGAATAGGAGACCAGGATAAATGAAGACCACATGAGAATAGGAAGAAGCAAAGTGCTAGAGAGGCCCACAGAAATCCACAAAGATACCCCCACAATAGACTGCTGGCAATGGTCGAGAGACAGCCCGAACTGACCTACTCTGGTGATGGGATGGCCAAACACCCTAATTGTGCTAGAAACCTCATCCAATAACTGAGGGAAATGGATGCAGAAATCCACGGCCAGGCCCCAGGTGGAGCTCCAGGAGTCCAATTGGCGAGAAAGAGGAGGGTTTGTATGAGCGTGAATTGTTGAGAGCAAGATTGGAAAAAGCACAGGGACAAATAGCCAAACTAGTGGAAACACATGAACTATGAACCAATAGATGAGGAGCCCCCAACTGGATCAGGCCCTCTGGATAAGTGAGACAGTTGATTAACTTGATCTGTTTGGGAGGCACCCAGGCAGTGGGACTGGGACCTGTCCTTAGTGCATGAGTTGGCTGTTCGGAACCTGGGGCTTATTTATACAGGGACACTTAGCTCAGCCTGGGAGGAGGGGACTGGACCTGCCTGGACTGAGTCTACCAGGTTGAACTCAATCCCCAGGGGAGTCTTTGCCCTGGAGGAGATGGGAATGGGGGGTGGGCTGGGGGGAGGTGAGGGGGGGGCGCGGGAGGGGGGAGGACAAGGGAATCTGTGGCTGATACATAAAATTAAATTAAATTATAAAATAAAAAAAATGCCCCCTTTGGCTCACCTAATTAACATGCCCAGTTAAAACAAACCAACTCACCCTAACACTGGGGGGGTGGGGGGGGGGGGTGAGGCTCTCCCTTTTCCCCTTTCTAAACTGTCATTTACCTGTGGGCCATGCCTGTCTCCTCTCTATCTAGAGGCAGTCCTTTGTCCCTCTGAGCAGATCTCCCTCCCTCACCTGCCTTGTTCTCTTTCCCTTCTCCTGGTTCTGTCTTTTTCTCTCATTCCCTGCCCTTTGTCCCTCTGTGGCAAATACATTTCCTTTGTGCTGAGAACTTGGTCTTGGGGTGTCCTGTGCTGATTCTGGTCCTTTCACGCCGGCCTTCTAAAAACAATCTATCAGTCACAAAAGTATTAAAGAGTAGCATAATGTATATGTATTGGAGTGGAGTTTAATTTTGTTTCTACAGGCTGTTAATACATTTCCCAAACCCCCTATCAAGCTAGATGACCTGGTAACTTCAAGTGAAGTCAGAAATAACAGTCACTGGCCTCCCAAAGAGAAATAACAATAACCCTTTGCCCAAGCAAGTTTGAAAGTTTAAAGCAACTAATCCATACAAAATGATTAGTGTAGTGTAAACGCTGGCTAATACTAGTTAGGGGACAAGTTTGCTTAGATCATTAGCTTATACTTTTAAGAATAAATTAAAGCCTTTACTTTAGAATGTGTCTCCTTTCTCCCAGTGAACAACCTAAAGGCAGGTATCTTAGGTCTGAAGGATCAAGAGCTAGCTTAGAGAAGCCATGCTAATCACCATCTCTGCCTCCCACATTCTCTGAGAATCCTAACTCACCAAAGGAGCGTACCAGTGGGGCAGCCCAAGGACAAAGCAAAGGATACTGTTTTGAATCAAGCGTGTAAATTTTATTCAAGGCAAATGGTTGCCTTGGAGTTTCTCTTTATTTATCAACGTCTTGGCCTTCCTCCAGGACTTTTAGAGCCTAGACTCGGTGTGTTTGTTACTTTTCCGGTTGCTGGGACAAAATATCAGAAAAAAGCAACTTGAGGAAATGTTTATTTTACTTCACAGTTTGAGGGTAAATAAAGTCCATTATGAAGGGAGAGAGAGGCACAGTATCTAGAGTGGCCCTAGCTGTGCCAACAGAGCACGTGGCAGCTGGTGACATTGCATGCCGAGTCAGGAAACAGAAAGAAAGAAAGAAAGGCTGCTGCCCAGCTCACTTTCATACACACACCCTTCAGTCCAGGACCAGCCCATGCCACTGTGGTGTTGCTGCACACAGTCAGGGTATCATCCTTCTGTGGAAACATCCTCACAGATGTACCCGGAGGTGTTTCCATGGAGATTCTAAAGCTGTCAAGCTGACGATGATGATTAACTGGCACATCTTATCAGAGACACCGAAGCACATACATAGCCTTGGCCCCCAATTCAAACTCCACATAGCTCAGGTACTTTTATCTATTAGTTCTTTCAAGGCAGAGTTTGGCTTTGGGACTACAGGATTTACTGTGGCTAGGTAGGGGCAGCCCTTTGCTCCAAATGGTTTTCAGCTCCTGCACTCCAGTCCCCACGAACTACACATGTGCTCCTTGATCTCAGCAGCACACAAAACTGGGCATGATGGTGTCCAGCTTAGCATTCTGGAGGGAAGGACAGGAGGATCAGAAGGTCAAGGTCATTCATGGCTGCAGAGCAAGTTTGATACCAGCCTGGGCTACATGAGCCCCTCTGAAAAAAAAAATTTAAAAAAACAAGGAAAAAAGTTTAGGGTAAAATGACAAACCACGTCTTTTCAAGGCAGTTGTTGCTGGAATGACATCATAATGAGATGAACCAAACACCACTTTCTCTCAGGAGAATCCCGTATGCCAACTACTGTTCTTGTCCAGAAGACGGCAGTGGCCACAGCTAGGATAAGAGTCAAATCGGGGTTCACTGTTTTATTACCCAACCCCACAAGCCCTTTATCTTTATCGGGAGACCAAATATTGGGATTTCTGCCAGGAAGAGGTATGAAGAAAGAAAGCTTTCATTCAACCTTTTTGGACTTGGAATCATCCATTCAGCCACCAAGAGTTATGGTCATGGCATCCCTGCCCTCTATGCTATTCCTTCAGCTGGAATAACTCATCCTCTCACCCTTGACACTTCTCTCCCTTCAGACTCTGTGGGGGACACCAGTAGCACTGTGATCCCAGGCAAGGGAGGAAGCAGCAGAAAGTTCCTGCTGCTATTTTGTAAGCAGCAGATCTGGGTCAGGGTTTGTAGAAGTTGGGGGCTTATACTACTGCCTCTGCACCCAGGAGGAGTCCAGCTCAGGTCCAGGCAGCCTGGGGAGGCTCTGCTGTGGAGTGGTAGGCAGAGCAATGTTAACAAAGCAGACAGTGCTGTGTGCTGGTGACTCAAGAATCCCACGGGATCCCACGCGCATGCTAGTTGCCACTTCCAGGGACTAAAATAAACCTCTAGTGCTAAGGCCTGCTCATGAAAGTAAGCCCAGCCCTAAGAACTGGCATGCTATTTTACACAATGGAATGTTACACAGCCATTAAGCACACAATTATGTGCACTGCGGGGATGGAAATCAGAATGTGAAATGATGTTAAGTGAAAACAACACACGACGGAGAAAGCATGCTGACTGCAACTACAGAAAGCATACATGTAAGAGTACATCTCTAAGGAGCTTCAGAAAGGAATGAGCACTATAATTCTGTTAAGAGTCCATGGCAGTTTTCACAATACTTTTTTCTTACTGGTTTTTTTTTTTTTTTTTTTTTTTTTTTTTTTGGAGACAAAGTCTCACTATTCAGCCCAGACTGGCCTAGAACTTATCCTTCTGTCTCTAGCTGGGATAAGGACATGCTAGGCATCCACACATTTGTGGGAGGGAGGTGGTGTCCTGGCTAGTTTTATGTCAACTTGACACAAGCTAAAGTCATCTGAAAGGAAGGAACCTCAATTAAAGTGTCTCCACAAGATTGAGTTGTAGGCAATCTTGTAGAGCTTTTTCTTAATTAGTGATTGATGTGGGAGGGCCAGCACATTGTGGGTGGGGTAACCCCTGGGACTGTGGTCCTGAGTTCTATAAGAAAGCAGACTGTGCAAACCACAAGGAGCAAGTGAATAAACAGCACCCCTCCATGGCCTCTGCATCAGTTCCTGCCTCCAGGTTCCTGCCTTGTTTGACTTCCTGTTCTGACTTCCTTCAATATGAACAGCAATATGAAAGTGTAAGCCAAATAAATCCTTTCCTCTCCAACTTGCTTTACATCATGGTGTTTTAGCATAGCAATAGAAACCCTAACTAAGATATGGGGCCCATTATAGGCCAGGCTTGCCTCAGACTCTCTATGTTGACAAGGATAACCTTGAACTTTTAATGCTTCCCTCTACTTCCCAAGTACTGGGATTAATGGCATGTACCACCATGTCTGGTTTATGCAGATGGAAAGAAAGGCTTCCTGTATGCGAGACAGAAACTCAACTAACAGAGCTATAGCCCTAGCCTAATGTTTGGTTTTTTTTTAAAGAAAATTTTCATTCTCATTATGTGAGGTTCAGATACACCTGCTCTTTAGTAGTAAACTCCGAATATAATTTAATTCAGGGTTTAGAGAACTGAATGCCACAGTGAGAAATTCGTTCTGAACCCCAAGCCAACCAAACAATTCCAAGACAAGAATTTACACACACTTGGGTCTCTGTTAAGTCAAACTACTATGTTTTGAAATGCACTCACTTATTCTGAAAGAAAGGAAACCACCCTCCCCTTTTCTTGGTAAACTGCCAGCTGGTCCATATTTGTAAGCCACTGCTAGCTAAAAGCTACCTTGTTACCTGGTCACAGGCAGCACTCAGAATTAATTTGTCATCTTTATCCATCACACATCTGGGTATCAACTTGAGTAAATTTCTCCCTCTGGAGACTCTGCTTCAGTACCTACATAGACCTTGTTTTTCTAGGACTGGCTTTCAGTCAATGCTTAGTTTGGTTGTTTTATTCAACTGGAGGTTTTTTTTTGAGGGGTGTGTGGATTGAGATAGAGTTTTGCTATGTAGCCCAGGTTGGCCTTGAACTTATGATTCTCCTCTTTTGTTTTGACAGTGCTGGGATAACAGGTGTATGCCACCACACCCAGCTGTTTAAGTTATGGTTGTTTTTGTTAACTTCGTACACTGAACTAGACTTTAGATTTAGATAAATATAGTACAAAGAATTTATATAGACCTTTCAACCTAGATTACCCTAATGGCAACATCTTATCTACCTCCAGTACACTGATCAAAACTACCAATTACTCGGATTTCACCAGTCTTTTCCACTAATGCCTGTTTTCCACTCAGTATCTAATCAAGGATCGTATACAGTACAGGGTTCCCCATCTTAGAAACAATTTTTCTCTTTGGGGGTTAAAAAAGGGCAAACACGTAGGTGTTGGGAGCAATTTATAGTGCTGAGCTCCTGAACCCAAAAGGGAACGACATCGTATCTGTACCTAAGTCCTGAATCCAAGACACCTCATCAGGGTTAGTGTCAAAAACACACATCTCACATTAGCACTTCTTACAATCGTACAAAGGGATTTGACAAGTGGGTTATTTTTAGCAAGTAATATTGTGAGGGTGACAAGATGAGAGGGATGGCCTTCCCTGTCTCTTTTCTCTGCTTCATTTCTCTTCAAACTGTATTTTAAATTTTCACTAGAGACTATAATATTTAAGTATAACATAAACGTTGAGAAACAAACACCCACGCCAATGGGGAAGGGACTCGGCAATGTGTGGTTTTGTTTGCCTGAAATTAAGTTCAAGTTAACGATTCCTCGGCTTTCTGGTGCTGCAAATGATACACGTTTGGCAGAAAATATATTTTGGATTTGGAGTTCAGGTCTTTTCCTAGGCTAGAGATGCGTAGTCCC